TATCTGACTCGAAACCTTTTAGTTTGATCGGCATTGGAGAGATCGTTCTGCTCCCTCTGGATGTTCTTAAGATTAAGCGCCAGACTAACCCCGAGGCCTTCCGTGGCCGTGGCCTTTTCAAGATTGTTGCCGATGAGGGTATGGGTCTGTACCGTGGTGCTGGCTGGACTGCCGCCCGTAACGCCCCTGGCTCCTTCGCTGTATGCTTTTCCCCCGGTCTGCTATCACTGAACTACCACTAACCTCTGTTACAGCTCTTCGGTGGATCCGCTTTCGCCAAGGAAAAGATTTACAAGCTGACCGACTACAACACTGCCACCTGGGGCCAGAACTTCGTCGCCTCAGTCTGCGGTGCTAGCGCCTCCCTGGTCGTTTCCGCTCCCCTCGATGTCATCAAGACCCGTATCCAGAACCGCAACTTCGAGAACCCCGAGTCTGGCTTCAGGATCGTCTCCACGATGCTCAAGAACGAGGGCCCTACCAGCTTCTTCAAGGGTCTGACCCCCAAGCTGCTGATGACAGGTCCCAAGCTGGTCTTCAGCTTCTGGCTGGCACAGACTTTGATTCCCGCTTTCGGTCAGGTTGTATAGAGACCTCTTTTTTATAATTGTTGCATTTCCCCTTTTATTTCCCCTTTCTTGGGCTAGGTTAATTACCTAGACTTTGTATTTTCATAGACACCTTTTATTTCTTACGGGGATCTACTTAGGTAGCTTACATTTTCCGAATGCGACGAACTCACTCTACTTTAACACGGATTCATGTGACATTATCAAGACAAGAATAGTTGGCCGCTTAGCGGCCTCCGTCCTTGACGTCGTAAGACTTTAATAAACTGATATATTTGGACCACGGTTGTATTAGGGATGTTATATGTAAGCACGCTGTGTTGTGCTTTTTGAATGTCTTTTTTGATGTCTTCTTAGGTGTATACGATGGCGATAAAAAGCATAAACTGTGTAGAGGACTTTTCTATGTATAACCTTTGACTCTGGAGCTCTTTAAATAACAACTTCTATTTGGATGACATGGATTCTATTGCTATAGAAATAACAAGAATAAGACGGGATGTATAGTGGGAATATCAACATCCAAACAAACGAAAAAATAAGACACATGTAAAAAGGAAATGGCACAGACTTGATTCATAAGTCATTCTACTAACCAGTAACAGCGCTTCTTTGCTTTGCTAGCCAGCCCTTGGAATCTCCCTGTGCTGGCTCCATGTCGATATCGTGATACCGTCATGTTGTTGTTCTGCCACCGGCTCTGAAGGTGATACCAAGCCGAGCCCACAAGGTTGAGTTCTCGGGCCTGGCTGTCGATAATAGTCTGAAGCTCAAGCTAAAAATGTCATCAGCATACTGCTAAAACCCAACAGACTCAAGGTATGAAGCATAAACCGCTCCATGTTTGACTTACCTCTCGCTCCTTGGAAATACCATCGTCCAGGTTTTCTTCGTAGTTCTTCATACGCTCACGAAGTGATTTGACTAGCTCATTTTGCTGCTGGATGTACTGTAGAACCAAGCTAGTATTAGCAAACACAACCCAAATAAGGTGCAGCGAGGATCTTTTGTGGGAAAACTGACCTCCGCACGCTGAGCGAGTCGTTCAACGTTCTTCTCCAGAACTCCCGCACACTGTTTCAAGAGCTCGAAGCTCGATTTCTGGGGTACTTCGCCGCCCTCGGTATTGTGGGTTTCAAACTCGCCTAGGAGCATCTGCATCTCGTTCATCACTTCCTGATCTTCGGAGCTGATCTCGCTTTGCTTGTTGTCGAGCATCTTGCGCAGTTCCTCTCGTTCCGCACAGACTTCGCGCACCAGCGTCTGGCTGGCATCAACTTCGGCCTCCAGGTGATGGACGTTCTGTGTGAGGCTTTCCCAGTCATCCCGGATTTTTGTTAACTCAGCCGAGTTATGCGCTTCGAGTCCTTGGAGCATCTCAACCTGTTCCGCATTGACAAGGCCAACTTCAAGATTGTAAGTCACATGTTTTTCTTAGATGTGTAGAACCAGAGCAATAAAAGACTTACATTCAGCTTGTGTATCAGACAGGTCCCTTTTGGCTGTTTCCAAAGTGTCCTGGACCTCTGCAATCTTCTTGAGAGCTCCGGTATAGTTCTCGTATAGTTTCCAGTAGTCGTCACTGTGAAGCATATTAGATATTCTGTTCATTGAAACGAAATGTCGGGCAATCAAACCTTTGGGTGGAACCAGAGCGTGCCAGGTGCACGGATGCAGCAAAGTTTTCAGAGAAGCCTCCAGTATGAGAGGCTGGCTGCTAGTTGTCAGTATCAATATGAGCTTGTAGAGAACAGATGGTGCACATACAGCTGAAGGTGCTTTAACTGACTCCATTTCCCGCTTCAAGTCATCATTCTCAGATTTACTGTCAATAGTTAGCATCCAATAAGACCGCGAAGGTAAAATGTATACATACAGTTGAGACTCTTTCACACCGAGTGCCTCAAAGTCCTTGTGCAATGTCCCTTGCATCTTTGGCGTCTCAGAGCCAGGCGACGCGCTGCCCGGCAAGCCGTCCATTTCCCCGAGGCGTTCACGTAGTTCGCTGATCAAAGCATCATCTCTCTCGTGTTGTTCATTCGCACTTTCCAATCGCTCGGTCAGCGCATGGTTATTGAACTCAAGTTGTTTCTTCAAGTTCTGGATCTCATTGCATTCCTGCTCAACCTGTGGCAGAAGCTTGCGATATTCTTCCAGTTCCACATCGCGCTCCGAAGACCACCGCTGCTGCGAGTCTGACTCTTTGAGCTGTTGCTGGATATCTTTGATTTGGTTCTTGAGGGTCTGGTTCTCTTTCTCAAAGTCTTGGCTGGCTTGCAGCTTTTGGCGGTATTTCTCGGCCGCGTTTGCCTTGCGCGCGAGTTGATCCTTTTCGGTACGGAGCTCATCATAGTCATCCTGCAACTTCTGATAGCGCTGGTTCTTGACCCGCAAGGACTCGACTGTCATCCGAAGGCTGTCGATTTCGTCCTGGGTCGCGGTCAACTTCGCTTCTTGGGAGGCAATTAGATCGTCCTGTTGACGGGTCTTGCTTTCCAACGCCTTTGCATTGTGACCGATATCACCCTTTCCAGATTTCAGTGTAACCAGTCGGTCCTCGGTGGAGGCGAGACGGTTTTGCAGGGTGTCATTGTTCTCCTGGAGACGAGCCAGGCGATTGTGCAAGTCCTCCAATGCCTTTTCCAATTCCTTTTTCTCGTGTGTTAAACGGTCGTTCTCCGCGAGCACCTTTCCGACGCGTTCTTCGAACTGCAGTTCCAGGTCCACAGGGCGATCGTGCTTGGCTAGGTCTTCCCTGAGCTCGTCCGCAGCGTCCATCGGCTCGTATTGGCCATTGTGTGCCTCCTCAATAATATCCCTGAGCCCCTCTTGTGTCGAGGTGCTTAGTTCCTGGAGTGTTTGTACGTATGTCCCGGCGTTGGGGGAGCTGATGGCCGCGATCAGGAGAAGCTTCAGCAGCTTGTTCGATTCCTTGGTAGAAGCTTTTTCGGCAATAGATTCGAGATCAGGCGAGGGATCGAGACCGGAGGGTAAGATGTCATCGTTTTGGTGTCGAATGTAGTTGAGCAGTAGTTTGTGGATGTGCTTCAGGTTCTGCCACTTGGCCACCCAATGGTCGGAGGAGTTGCGCTCTGGGATTTCCTCAAGGAAATACTGAGGGTCAATATCCTGGAGAATCTCCCACAAAATAATCCCATCGGTCAATTCATCAGTGGCTCGGAGGGTTTTGCCCAAGGAGAAGCTGTTGATCCATTCCAACAGAACCTTGGTCACCGTGTGTTCCGACGCCATTTTGGTGACGCGTTTTAATCGAATGTCAAAGAAACCTGTAATTCCAGCAATTCCAGCATTTCCAAGACTCCAAAGCGAGGGATTACAACGCGAAATGCCTCGGTGGCTCTCGAGGGAGTTTCAGATCCACGCGCCTTCGGAGCCAGGACGGGAATCAACTAGCGGGGGGAAGAAGGATGATCGGCCCTATGTTGTCTATGCTCTTTGATTTGCTACGAAGTACTCCGTACTTACCTCAGTTCTTGAATTGTAAATCATATATTGTGGTAATGAATACATTGCATGTTTTTTTAAGTAGATCATAAGAAACCAGTAAACCTATATGCTTCCCCCCTGAAGCCCTTAGCTGAAGCATAAGGGCTCAACCATTTACTCCACATTGTATACATCCAAACGCCGAGGTATTAAATCATCCAAATCTTTCTGAGAGTGTAATTCTGATTGGTTCATCCCAACATGAGTTTTCCTCCGGACGTCATGATATGCTCAGAGCTGTGAGATTCACAACACCCGGGTATCTCATTCGAGAGAGCATATTAGACTGCAGCCGCATAGTCTCCGTACGCACTGACAACCTTATCTTCTTCGATATTTGGTTTGTATTGGGCATCCTGGGTGGAGAGAGTCTGGAGAGCGCTCACAGGAGCCTCGGCAGCGAAGCCACTAAAGCCATAGTTAGAAAGGTTTATAAGACAAAAAATGTCAGTTGAAACCGTACTTGATCAAATCTGCATAAGAAATGTATGTTAGCATCGACGTTGGCAAGGTAGAACGTATAACTTACGGTACTCATGCGTGATGACGCCACCCTAAAAGTGTCAGTTCAGAGTCATAACAGCTTCATGGCAACAAAGAAGCACTGCGTACTGATGCCACCAGGGAGATTTTGGCCTGGTTAACCACCGAGTCAGGCGTTCCCTTGGGGAAAGTAACGATGACGGACTTGAGCGATCCGGCCAGTGCCAGTGGTAGAACTAGCAGGGCAGCAAATGTAAGCTTCATATTGAATAATGCAATAATATCTCTTTCAAATTGTTGAATGTACGAAGTAAAGTAGGTAAGTTAGGTACGTTAGTCCAAGTCCAACAAGGAGAAGTTGAATGCGTCATTCCACGATCACATGACTATCTGACAATCCCTTTCTCTTTGCCGCTTCCACCTCACCTCAACACTTCACCTTAACACTTCACCACTTCACCACTTCGCTTCTCTCTTTTTTTTCTTTTTCTTGTCAACCTTGAACTTCATTGCTTCACCATCCCACAGCGCTGTTTTCTTGCATTTACCCAGTATTGGTAGTCTCTTTTGTTCATTTTCCACTCCCCGCATCTGCTTGGTTTTTTTTCGCGGGACGCGGCATTTCTTCCCTTCCATCACCATCTCTCGGCGATTATTTGACTGGAAGGTAGATACACAAGGGCACTGGAAGGTCACGGGCTGGGTTGGACTGAGAGCAAGCGTTTGAATACTATTGTTTTCTCAATTCTCGCAAAGATAGCTAGCAAGCATTTACAAGTTCCGACTATTTCTCCATCTTTGCGCTGATCCAAGAGAATTTGTTCCTTGGAACAAGGACAAGGATTAAGAAAAGAAGACAGTCTTGATAGTCACAGGGAAAAGGATAGGCAGAAGCTATCTCAAAGGAAGTGAAGAAGAAGGAGAAGAAGAAGAGAAGAAAGGAGCAATCAAACTCAGACACAAGACCAGAGAACAAAGAAAAAGAGCAAGAAAAAAAAACAAGACCACGTGCTGAACTTCGCCTTGATATTGGTTTCTGCTCTCGACATCTCTGATAAATCCAGATCCCGACTCATCCCACATCGCCATAATGTCCGGCCTCGTTTCCGACGAAATTGCGGAGGACTACAAGAGCTCCTTGGAGGATCTAACTACCAATGATGGAATCCAGATCCGCACTCTGACCGTCATCGCCAAAGAGAATACCGAACACGCAATGGCTATCTCCCGGGTCCTGGAGAACCACATTCGATCAGTAGGTGCTCCTGATTTTTTTTTCTGGCGTAGTACAGGATGAGTACTAACCACTATGTAGACACCACCCCTGCAGAAGCTTCCAGCCCTCTATGTAGCCGATTCCATCGTCAAGAACGTTGGAAGCCCCTACACCCTCTTCCTTGGCCGGAATATGTACCAGACATTCATGAATGTTTATACTCTGGTTGATGGAAATACCCGAAGGAAGCTGGATGAGATGCTCAATACATGGAAGCAGCCGGCCCCTGGCTCACTCGACACGCGCCCAGTCTTCCCTCCCGACATCACACGAAACATCGAGAGTGCTCTCATCAAAGCACGCACTGCGGCCTTGCAACAACAACAGGCCAGGGCCCAACCGGACATCCTCGGCCGTAGTCGTGGAAATGGGACTCCGACTGGGTGGACCAACAGCTCTACACCACCTCAGAACATGTCTCGGCCTTCACAAAACCACCAATATACCAATAATGGTCATTCCAATTCGGTAAGTCTACTTTCGTCTGTGTGTCACATTGAAAGCTAATTTGGATCTCACAGACACCTCCCCAGACTCATCGACAGGATATCGATTTGAGCTACCTCAATCGAGACGTGGATGCCCTGATCGCTTCTGCAAAGATTGACTTTGCTAACAGTCCTTTTAACCCCGTCTCTCAACAACGCTTGAAAGCGTTGGTGGATCTTCAAGCCATTCTACAGAAACAACAGCTCTCTCCAGATCAGTTGAAACTTGTCCGCGATCAGGTCTCTGCCCTTGCCGCCACAAGACCGCCGTCGGTTGCCCCTAATGCCGCTACGAATGGCCCGGTAGTGTCCGCTCCTCCACAAATCCCCACACCACCAGCGCAACCAGTCTCGCAGCCCCTTCAGCAACTATTAAACCATAACACTCTCGCCGAGCTGATCAAAGCTACCGCTTCGCGTCAACAATCTACCCCACCACCTCAAATCCCGGCAGCGCTGCCTCAGATGCCCCAGTATCCTCACCAAAGCGGCCCTCCACAGCCAGCGCCGGAGAACCCTCTTATTGCGGCCTTGAGGGCACGTGGACTTCTACCTGGTGGACCGACACCCTCATCTCTTACGCCTTCGACTTCGACACCGGTTTCTGGTAGATCTAATATGCCGTTCATCTTGCCCCATGGAATGCAACCTACCACCCCAGCTCCGTTACAAACTCCAACTCCCTCCAATGGATCATCTGGAGTCCCCATGAGCACCGCGTCTATGAAGATTCCTCGATTCGGACTTATTGTCTCTCTATATGATTCCCGACCGAACCGATGTGGAACTTGCGGCCGTCGCTTCTTGACCACGGATGAAGGGAAGGAAATGAAGGCCCGGCATCTGGACTGGCATTTCAAGACCAATCAGCGCATGACCGAGTCCTCCCGGCGGGCTCAGAATCGCAGCTGGTATGTTGACGAAAGGGTATGTTCATCTCGTCTATTTTTTCAACGTTCATTTCTAACTCCAATAGGACTGGATCAAATCTCGAGAGGCTGGCGACGAGAACGGTGCTGCGGATCCCCAAACCACCGCTGAAGGAGCTTCAGGCGTGGATGGCAATACCAAGCAAGAGCCGCCAAAGCCGTGGATTCGAGCTCCGAACGACGCCACTCTCCGTAACACCCCATGCCCTATCTGCCAGGAGAAGTTTGAATCGACCTGGTCTGAGGATGTCCAGGACTGGATCTGGCAAGACGCAACCAAGGTCGGAAGTCGTGTGTATCATGCTAGCTGCTATTCCGAAGTGACTAAGGGCCCTGCACCCACACGCCAGACACGGACCAGCACGCCCGACTCTGTTCTTGGCAAGCGGAAAGCTGAAGTGAGTTCCTTTGAGAGTGTTTTTCTGGATGTTCAGAAAGCTAACTATACATAGGGAACTGAATCTCCGAGTCAGAAGACGCGCATCAAGACCGAGATCTGACCTTTTTGTACCATACTTCAACGCGATTATTCTTGCATTGCATAGGGAATATCTCCCTGGCGTTAGTTAGCGAATTGAGTCCTTCTACTTCTACTTCACAATATCGTATAATGTTGCATCGTAGAATCATCCACCTACCCTGCCCCGCTCGGCCCATCCCCGCCTAATTTCCCCATAAAATAAATTCCCTCGACGTAAACTGTCTTTTCTTTAATCCGATCTTCAACTATTGTACCTTTCACTTGACTCTACTCATCAAGTTTACTATCATGGCGCCACACATTGTTCGATGGGGTATCATGGGTATGAGATCCTGTTATCATGAAATGAAAAAAAGAAAGAAAAACAGAAAAACAAAGCTAACTGACTGATAGCCACTGGCTGGATCGCTGAGAGTAAGATCTCACTTCTACGATACCTGGGCGTATAAGACAAAGAACCCATGAAATAACCTATCCCCCAATAGCATTCACAAATGACCTTCTTATCGACCCTAATGTCCGCGATGCCTCTGACGTAGCCCACCAAGTCGTGGCCGTCGCCTCGTCCTCGTCCAAGGACAAGGCTGAGCAATTCATCTCGGCTCGAGGAATCACAACCCCCTGCTCCGCATACGGTGACTACGAGACTCTCGTGGCCGACCCCAATGTCGATGTCATCTACGTCGCGACCCCGCACTCCCACCACTACCAGAACGTCAGACTCGCGCTGGAGGGAGGCAAGAATGTTCTCTGCGAGAAAGCCTTCACCGTCAACGCTGCTCAGACTAAGATCCTCATCGAGATTGCCCGCAAGAAGAATCTCTTCCTTATGGAAGCTGTCTGGACTCGTTACTTCCCCCTCAGCATTCAGATCCGCGAGCTTATCCAGAAGGGTGAGATCGGTGAGGTCCTCCGAGTCGTGGCTGATACAAGCTTCGGTGATGATGTTGAGACGAAATGGGGTACCACTCACCGCATGGTGAACCCCGATTTGGCCGGTGGTGCTCTCTTGGATTGTAGGTGTTCTGGGATTTTTGTTAATTGATTGTCCCCCAGAGGACAGAAAGAGAAAGAAAACCTTGACTGATTTGCTCTTCTAGTGGGTATCTACTCCCTGACCTGGGTATTTCAGACTCTATACCACACCCTGCCCCGAGACCAGAGGAAACCACCCACTGTCTCCTCGCAGATGACTCCTTATCACCTCACCGGTGCAGACGAGTCCACAACCATGCTCCTGAGCTTCCCCACGAGTACTCCATCCAATGGCCCGCACCCGCAACAATCGCACGGTGTAGCCATGACCAACATTCGTGTCTCTGCTGATCCGGATGAGAAGGGCTCGGCTGGTCCTCCCATCCGTATTCAGGGCACTAAAGGCGAGATCCAGGTGTATGGTCAGCCGTTCCGGCCAGAGAGCTACCGTATCATTCCCAAGAAGGGTGCTGGTGAGATTCGTGAGGTTCAGTGCCCGTTCCCTGGTAATGGTAAGGGTATGTATTGGGAGGCTGATGAGGTTGCTCGTTGTCTCCGCGATGGCAAGCTCGAGAGTGAGGGCTTGCCATTGGAAGAGAGTATCGTGATAATGGAGGTCATGGATGAGGTGCGAAAGCAGGGTGGTTTGACCTATCCTCAGAAGATTGAGTCGACTGAGTACCCTCTGCAACTTTAGGTGAGAGGTACTACCTTAGGTAGGTATATGGCAAGTGTAAATAATATTGGTATGAGGTGAATACACACCACATCTACCCATGTGTTGCCTTGTTAAACCCCGAATGGAAATAGACTAAAGACTACAAGATTTACCAAAAGATCCAATTGAATGCATACCGGTCTTGAGTGTATTCGGTACTCTCAGAGGTACGCACATACTACTATACATGGCGGTCAAGGGGATAAACCCACGTCTATATGTGGACGAAAACACCAGCCATGCTTCCGGTGTGCCCAATTAAGAAAAACAAAGGAAAAAAAGGTAAGCATCACGGAGCCTGGACTGGTAAATTGTCCCAAATTACCCCCCAAATTCCCGTTTTAGAATGCAATCAACCCAACAGAATCGCTTACTGGCGGAAGACTCCAAGAATGCTCTTCCAGACCTGGCCAGGCTCCTGGCTGGCATCAATGCCGCGCCAGATACCGGTCTTCTTGTAGTAGTCGACAACGGGGGTGGTCTGGGCGTGATAAGTAGCCAAACGCTTGGTGAGGGTCTCGGCATTGTCATCGGAACGCTGGATCAGCGGCTCTCCGGAGATGTCGTCCTTCATGTCGGCCTTGGGCGGGTTGAAGATCTTGTGGTACGAGCGGCCAGAGGCAGGGTGGACCAGGCGGCCGGTGATACGAGCCACCAGCAGGGAGTCGTCAATCTGCAGCTCAACGGCGTGCTGAAGCTTCTGCTCACGGGCGATGAGCATGTCATCGAGACGCTCGGCCTGCGCAACCGTCCGGGGGAAACCATCCAGAATGAAACTGTCCACCTCTCGTGTTAATTTCTGGCCGGACCTCGGAAGAAAATAAATTGGGGAGGGGAATGTAGATGTACGCACCCGTTCTTGCACTCTGCGTTGTTGTCTAGCTCGCTCTTGATCATGTTGATCATGATCTCGTCGCTGACGAGACCACCCTGGTCCATGATCTTCTTGGCTTCCTTTCCAAGATCGGTCTTCTTCGCGACCTGGGACCGCAGCATGTCTCCGGTGGCCTATTCAGGAAATATATCAGCGGGAAGAGCTTATGCTGTACCCAGGCAAACTTCTACTTACCAGGTGGCACGCGCAGAACTTTTCCTTAAGGTTCGGGGCTTGAGTACCCTTGCCTGATTGAAACTGTTAAAATCCATTGCCTTTTTCCCAATTATAGTTCAATTGCATACCTGCACCAGGAGGGCCCATCAGGATGATGCGCATCTGCTCGGCGGAGGACTTGGGCTTGCCGCCATTGGCGAGACGGCTCTCAAGCTCGGACACCTTGGCCTCCAGCTGGTAGATGGTGTTCTTCAGACCGGAGACGGCCTCTTCAGTGACGGGAGCCATTGTGAATTGTAAGAGGGGAGAGGTTTGAAGAAGAGAAAGACTGTCGACGGGGAAACGGAGAAATGGGGAAAGGGAAGATTCGCAAGGAACTTAGCGCCCGAGGTTCGGATCGGAGAGCACGGGCTTCACGGGCTTCACGGTCTTCATGGGCATAGTACATTTTGTAGAGGCGATGTATACAAGTTACATGATACAATTTAGGTTTAGTATCTATCTATATTCTATCTATATTCTATATTTTATGTTCTATATAATTATTTATTCATGTACATCCATCGATATTCCAAGCTTCCTTCTATTCACTGGGAAAAGTGCAAGGTGGCTGCTTACTAAGTTCTCCAGCCTCAAGATGGCGCAGCCATGTGGCGGAGAGCTCTCAAGAGCACCTGTGCATCATCGCTCTCCATCCACCGCATTCTCCTGTCTCGCGTTGATTTGCTGTTTCATTGGATTTTATTTGATCTACGAGCTTTAATCCTCCCTTATAGCTCTCGATTTCTTTTCACCTTTTCTCCCTTTCACGATGCCTGCCACCACGGCGGACACGCTATCCCTCGTCAACCGCTCCGTGACGGTTGCCCCGTTAGTCCTCCTCTCCGTCGCAGATCACTATGGGAGAACGGCAAAGGGTACCCGGAAACGTGTTGTAGGTGTGCTGCTGGGTGAGAACTCGGGCGATAATGTCCGGGTATCAAACAGTTTTGCTGGTGAGTGCAAGCTTCGGTGAATCAAACCCATACAACAGATGAGCTGACATCTGTGTGTCTATCTCTCTAGTCCCGTTCGAGGAGGATGAAAAAGACCCATCGGTGTGGTTCTTGGATCACAACTTCGTCGAATCGATGAGGGATATGTTCAAGAAAATCAATGCTCGCGAGAAGCTAGTCGGCTGGTACCACTCGGGTCCTAAGCTGCGCGCTTCGGATTTGGAGATCAATGAGCTCTTCAAGAAATACACGCCCAACCCCTTGCTGGTTATTGTCGATGTACAACCGAAGGAAGTCGGTGTGCCTACAGATGCTTACTTCGCTGTGGATGAAATTAAGGATGTGAGTTTGCATTGAATCCGAGGAAGCACCCATCAGGCCATCGGGGCTAACCAGGGCTATTTTTTTTTCCCACTTGCAGGATGGAACAACAACCTCCCGGACATTTGTGCACACCCCGTCGATAATCGAGGCAGAAGAAGCAGAGGAGATTGGCGTGGAGCACCTCCTCCGAGACATCAGGGACGTCGCAGTCGGCACACTTTCCACCCGTATCACGTCGCAGCTGCAGTCGCTGCAAGGATTGCATCTGCGGCTACGCGATATCGGCCAATACCTCCAGAAAGTTCTCGACAAGGAACTTCCCGTCAATCACGCCATTCTGGGCAACCTTCAGGATGTTTTCAACCTCCTTCCCAATCTGTCCACCCCACCGGCGACGCAGCGGACCAGCGGCCAGGAGCCGCAGATCGAGAACAGCGAGTTGGCGCGGGCCATGAGTGTCAAGACTAATGACCAATTGATGGCTATCTACATCAGCAGCTTGATCCGTGCTATCACGGCTTTCCACGACTTAATCGATAACAAGATCCAGAACCGACAGCAGCAAGAGGAGAGTGACACCAAGCGGGACCAGGAGGCCAATGGAACTAAGGGAGACAAGGATGCCAAGAAGGCCGGTTCGCCAAATGGCGAGCAGAAGGAAGAGCAGGATAGCTCCGACAAGAACAAGAAGAAGAACTAAGGAACTTTTCTTAATTTATTCACTTCCGGAAAGAATTCTCAATCCAACGAGTGAAGTATATGACATTTCAACCAGTTTTTTCTTGTATCTCGCTGTATATCGGATAGACAAGGTCAATATCCTATTAGCAGCCCAAGTCTGTCCATTTCGCACAGCGAACAAAGACCTTGGTTTTCTCTGTAATCTGTATATTTAAGTACATCTAAAGTAATAAGACTGCCATTGGCGTGTCTATCATGCAATCATCCCGCAATCTTGGGGGCTCCGGGACAAATCCCCATTCGTGGCCCTTCTCATGCGTTGTTCAACGATTTGATTGCCCGGACACGAGCAGGTGGTTCATGTGGAATGGACAAGGGTGCATAGAACTTGTTGTGATCTGCAGATACCTGGGATGGTTCTCATATGGTCGCTTCAGCAGCTGCCACTCTTTGCCCCAAGTGCATAATATTCATCATACATCAATTTGCGTTGACATGTCAAGAGCCAAGCAAATCAACCACCCCAACCAGCACACCAGCCTGCCAATTCCTCCTTGGAAACGGCGAATTTGCCATCCCGGTCAACGCCGAACAGCTCAGGGCACCGTGCATGCAGAATACAGGCTAGGATATGTTTGCAGGTAGGAGGCGACACCCGAGCGGTACCACGAGCTAACGTTCCGCCAAATGAGTAGGCCTGGTTCTGTTCGTTTGTCGGATGATTCGCCGGAAGTTGGGAGTCTCGGTATGCAGACAGGGTAAATGTAGGACAGCTGCAATTCCAGGCACGCAACCGAACCTCGTAGCCCTTTTCTTGGGAAAGGGTTAATGAACCCGGGAGTGAAGGCGGTACCGAGGCAGATATAACAATGAAAATATCCTCTTGGGCTGTCTCTGGGGATGTGGGACATCGATCTGAGCGCACAATTGGACGTACTAATTTGCGGTCGAGGATATCAAGAGCTGGGAGGAAGTCATTTGGGAATAGACAGTGCAATGTTAACATCAGTGGTTTTAGGGTCTTTGAATGTCCACCAGCTGGCTGTCCTGCCAATTCTGTGATCAAACGATCGATGAAAATGTGAGGAGAATTAGAATCCATTTAGTGGGAGATGTGGAAGATGTGGAAAGAGGAAAAATTAAAAAAAAAAAATGAAATGAAACTGAAAACAACTCCGAGATATATCAACTTCTCAACTTCTACTTCTTCTTCCCCTTCCCCTTCCCCTTCCCATTTCCATATTCCTTCGCTTTGCCTGTAACCTTTCTAAACAGTTTGTTATATGTCTTCTCTTTTCCATCTTCCTCCTCTTCTGCCCTCTCTCCCTTCTTCCTCTTGAGTCGATTGTAGTGCATTCCTTGAACTTCAAGATCCAAAAGTCTTGACCCTTTCCCCGCATCTGCAGTCAAAGTTATCTCAAGTCGTCCTCGTTGCTTGGTCCAGTCGACTATATCCCCATTGGAACCAGTGCCAATATCAGAACCAATAGCAGATCCAATGGCAGATCCAATGGCAGAAGTCTTCGCTTTGACTGTTCCGCTCTTCTTCTCCCATTCATTCGCCCATTTCTCGAATTCCTTGCGTCTCGCATCTGCCGAGCGAGCTATATAGCTATCGACAACCTTGGGAATCATCACATCCAGGAACTTCCCCAATGCCTTGAGATCATTCCCCAAGATTGGGACAGAGCCCTCAGGCACCGAGGGTAATCCTGGTCCAGAATCAAAATCCGCAAACACACCCCCGTCGTCCCACCCTGGACCGGAGTCGATTTCCATGGCATCGTGGTCTGCGGTTCTCTCTGTGGCTGTCTGTACTTTGTCATTCGTGGGTAACCGGCGGTATGCAAAGAGATAACCGGTAGCGAGATGGACCGGGTTGCCTCCCGGCCCTTCGGGGTCCCAGTCCAAGGTTTGCGTGTCATTCGCTTTGGTCCATTCGTCTCCTTTACCTTTGACACCGATACTGTAATGACCTCGTGTTACATCCTGGCCATGATGCAAGACCACCGAGCTCAATTTATACTGGATGACTTTTCGTTCGTTGCCCCAGCGTTCATCGATGAACCGTGTCTCGATATTCAACTTATCGCTCAGATATACTTCAGTGTCGATCTTCTGGCCCTCCTGGTTGGTGCGGTTGAGTTGGACCAAGAGAATCTCAGGAAAACTTCCAATTTGTTCTCTGAATGTCTTGTTGCCTCCACAATGCGCACACACAACGAAATCGTCTTTATGGTCAAAGTGATGTTCGATTATATCGCTCAAAGTAGGTTTCTCGGGGAGTTCATCGCCCTCCTCCCCAGAGAAGTGGATCATCATGAACCGTTGGGGGCTTCTCATGTATTTTGGTTGACAAGGGTTTTCCCCAGCGCATCTTGTCACCGTGATGATGTCGACCTGGAAGATATCTTCCAAGTCTCCTTGCCTGGTGTCTATAGTCAAACTTCTGTGTGAGGGGATATGGAGAGAATAACATACATCATAGGCTTGGTGCTATCTTTGATCGCGTTGTAAAGCACTTCAAAGTACTCTGCCGGGTCTTGTTCCGAGTCTACCCCGGCTGGTTTCCAACCATACAAGAGCGAGTGTGTTAGGGATTTAAAGGTAGGCATCCAACTTTCAGTTTCACCTGCCCAGTAACCTTCAAAGATCTCAGCAAGTTGACAAACTTGACATTCGCTGGGACCTTCTTCAGATGAACCCAGTTTGCAAACGTGACCCTTAGGGGCATGGTGCTCCTTGTACCAGGTGAGCCAATTGTAGAAAATTGGCATATGTAGAATCATTTGGAAGACGGCATTTCGATAGCAGTCAACTCCGCCATTTGGAAAGCCCACGGTGGTTTTATTGGGCAAGTCTGGATGCCAATATTTGGGGATGCCAGTCTATATCTCTCTTGTTAGAGTGTTCATATTGAAGAGGTGGCTACACTTACTCTCCATGTCATTTTCTCTTCTGGTGACTTCTCTCTTGGCTCTGTTGTGTCTTTCACTTCCATCTCTGCCTGTTTGACTTCTTCTTCGACTGCCTCTTCCTCTTCGACTTCCTCTTCAACTTCCTCTTCTTCTTCAACTGCCTCCTCCTCTTTCTCCGGGACTTCCTCCGGGACTTTTTTACCTTTGGTCATGATAGAATACGAAGTGAATAGATGTGGCATGAAGCTATTGCTCACTTGAGGGGTTCGCAGTTTAATTTATCTTGTATTGCAACCGATTTTCATTGTTTCCATCTCCCCAAAAGATATATGGCTTCGAGTCGAATTCATTGAATTCACGATGAAACCAACGAATCAACGATATGAAGACAGTGATCAAAGAAAGTCAAGAAATCCATCAAGTCAATCCCAGAGGCACTCATTAAGATTTCATTGAAATTTCATTTTGCTTATTTCGTTCTTTCACGGATTTCCAGCCGTTCCACAATTTTACATCTGATTCGAAGTCGACTTATATCCAAACAAAGAAACTTCCTTTGAGAAGGAATATCTCAATTTCTGTAAATAGAACCTGTTAAACCTGTTCACTCACATATTCAAAGAGAAAACGAAGTGAAAATGAAACCTATGACTCGGGCATCCCTGAGGTCAACATCCCGGGGACAATCTCAGTCAAATTTCAGTCAGATTTCAGTCAAATTCCAGGGCCTAGTGGGACTCTAAATGGGTTGGAATCAGCCAATTTCCTTTAAACCGTGTTCCCCCGGTTTTTCGCATTGTAAGAATGTTCGAGACCAGTCTGTCAAGATAATCTTAACTCTACTACGGAGTAAGTTGTAGAAGTAGAAATGAACCAGTTCCACCTAAAGTGTCTACGTGTAGAGTGTCTAGAACTTGACCTCCACAAGACAGCTGTTTCAGATGTGGAGCCAAATGAAATAGGAATCTGAAGGCTGATGATTGGCTGGAAAATATCCAGAGATCCGGCCGAAAGCCATACCCGTACTCCTTATCCTTCTATGTCGGGATTTGTCGTCTCTGTTACGGAGTACTCCGTCCTCCGTACTTTGTGCATGTTAGTATATATATGTATATATTTGGGATACATCCACTCCCGGAACAGATATGACCCCGATGATCCATAGCACTATTGTATAGGTATTGACAGCAGGGTTCCTCGCATCTACCGAAGATCCACCGTTGCGCGCACTGCCCCAAATCCAAACGGTCGAGCGCCACTTCAGCTGAAGCAGATGATCTCAATGATCTAAGTGGAACCCAAATTCTCCGTTCACGGTGCATATGTGGCTAGTGGTAGGTACATACATAGTGAAGGTAGAACGAACCTATAAGACCCAAGAGAAACCCCCTAAAATCAATCCCGGAAATGATAGAAATGATAGAAATGACGGCAAAAATCATGAGCTTCGAATCAAAGGCCACCAAAAAAACCGGGTCTAACGGGTGCATGTGGGATATTTAGGGCGATCGCGACAATAAATAGAAAAGAGAAACACTCCGCGCAGCGCCACCAGCTCTTCGCTACCACTTAAGTCATAGTTATGATGATCCGACGTTTGCCCCTCCTTGAAACTCCACACCGTTATTTCTTTGGCTGAGCTGTCCAGGTCTTCTTCCCCCCTCAGCTGTACATACGGTGTGGTGAGAGGACATCCTGCGCGTATCATCACACCTGTGGCTGCTTCATCTTTCGTCTCAGGTCTCGAGGCATGACCTGCAGTCTCACTTAACTCTTTATATTCCCAATTCTACCTGTCATCCCTTCGGACATGACCCGGGCATTGGTCTACGGATTGCCCCCGTTACTCCAAGCGGATCATAAGTTCGATGAAGCCGTAGCTGCCGAACGGGTCATGTCTGTGCTGGCTTCGAACGAAGCCAAGGGAGGCAACGATCGCCTCGCGAACGTTGTGCATGATCCACTTACACGTTCGACTTTCTTTGGCTTTTTTTTTTTTTTTTTCCCCCTTTGCCTTTTTGTTGCCTGACGGGTTGGAAAGTTGATAGACGAGATTCGAGGCCCGGAGGTAACAGGAAGAGGGATAGCTTGCTGATCCTCGGTGCATTGACTGAACGGACGTTTCAGGAAAACTGATCGTCGGAGATACAGCGGAGAAGTATTGAAAGGGGACATATAAGGGATATCCATACTCCGTACCTCGGGAGGGATTAATGTAAATACTATAATTATAAGAGAAGAGAATAATAGAATAATATAAGGATCCAAGGATCCAACCTGGGAAGGCCAGGAACTCGTGTTCGGCCCAAGCATATATGCCCGGTTTCTGGGTCTAACGGGCATGACGTGCCCTAGGTACCTAAGAATTGCATTGTACGGGAAATTGGTCTGGAAATTGTGGAAATGAGGAAATTGACAGGGCTATTAATCAACGGAAATTGAATATGACCCACCAGTCCCTTAATCTTGGAAATGCGTGAACGCGTGCCCCGTCGTTCACAAGTTCTGAGACCCTACCCTGAACAAATTACTTCTAATCTTAAATCTACTTTGTATATATTGAATGTAGAGAATAGGACTCTGGACCCGATCCAATTTCAGGACCGATTCATATAAAAAAAAAAAAAAGAAAGAAAAAAGTAAGAGAAAGATGTTACAGCTTTCTTTAAAGACAACCCTTTATATTATCTCTTTTATATAATGTATATAGAAAATGAAGAAAACACACACCCGAGAGTCAGGAACCCGGAAAAGCCCCACAGAAGAGAAGAGCAAGGGGAGAAACCTTGGAAAGTGAAGAGAAAAATCCCCGACTGGTTCCAAGGATTTGACATATCCTAGTAAATGTCCGTGAACATACGGAGTATAGGTATAAAATGATTTCAACCTTGGTAAGTTCCATAAAAGCCGTTAAACGATCTGGAACTTTGAGTTGGCTCTGGACCGGAAAAGACCGTTCTCATTTAACTAAAGGGTGATGCGGGTCCCCGGTTTTTATTTTATTATTACTTTTATTATTTTATTTATTTACCTTTTTTAACAGATTTTTTAATTTTATATAATTTATTATATAATTTAATTTCTCATTTATCATTTATCATTTTTGAGTTTTGAATATAAATTAAAATCAAAAATATACCCAATTAGGATGAATTAGTAGAATTAGTAGAATTAGTAGCCACTGGGAGAGTTAAACATAATTTATTTATACTATATGGTTATGGTACTAAGGGCCAAGTACACCGTTTGAATTCCAAGGTTGCCCCTCTTCCTTTTCTAGGTTAGTATGAAACTCTGCAGGTCATATCAAACATTTTACGGTATACATATATACTTTTTTGTAGCTCAAAAGTCCATAGTCTAGAGATTCTTCAAATTCGACTATATTTATATACATTTATATACATTTCCATTTCTAAGGTATATATATACACTTAAACTCTGAAGACCTACAGACTGAAAAAAAGAGTTAACAGACCTAACCCGAAGATCACCAAAGTAGAACAGGGGAACTGACCGCATCTTTAATTAAAACCAGTGGATATTGAAGTATTTTTTACTCTGTAACAGCCGTTACCCTTAATAGTCCACCCCCCAACGGTCTAAGACTCTTCTTTTTTTCTCCTCTCTTCTCTTCAAGATAGGTTTAGATCAGCTGTCACTTCTGGAGTCGTTTCACCTTGGATGCTTCATATCGTCCTTTTCCTTCTTCTCCCTTTTAATGAATTCTACAATCCTTGACTCTTCCTTAGCAACATTCCACCATACTTCCATACTTCCTTCCCCTCATTTCTGTTCTCTGATATCCCGGAGATTTTCAAATCCAATTCATTTCCAAACTTTGAAGATTCGTTAGTTCGGGTTTGATCGTTCTGTCGTCATATTTGGGACAAGACTTGGGATCACGAGCACCTTCCGTCTTTTTCCCTTTTTCCCCCCTTCCCCCTCCAGTCGGGGATCTTCCTGCTGCTTTGTTTTCTATTCTATTCACCGGTGCTCATCCGCGCATATGATTGCGTTACAAAATCGGCCTATATTGCCTCCTGTCAAAGTGGATATCTCACTGCTACTCAAGCCCCAAGATGAGGAAGAAGCCGCCCCGGGCAGGAACACCGGGTACCCGCCCAGAACGATAGGGCCGCCACTGGGCTTGGGTCCCATGATGACGATGCCGGGCCCGGCTACCATGGCCATGCCACCCTTGACCAAGACCGGCCCGTCGGGTGCTGCCAAGCGCCTGCAGCCCTCACATACCTCCGAATCTCCAGCAAAGAAGCAGTCCAAGTGGTCGCCAGATGAGGACGCCTTGATCATCGAACTGCGTGGCAGTGGGATGAAGTGGGAGGATATCAGCAAACGACTCCCCGGCCGGAGTGCCATCAGTTGCCGTCTTCATTATCAGAACTACCTGGAACGCCGAAGTGAATGGGATGAAGATAAGAAGAACAAACTAGCCCGTTTATATGAGAGGTAGGTTTTGGGGAAGAGATGGCTTCTCAAAAAAAAAGAAAACAAATCCACTAATCTCGCAACTCATCTGGTAGATTCAAAGCCGAAATGTGGTCCAAGGTAGCGGAGGAAATGGCTATCCCATGGCGTGCAGCAGAGGCCATGCACTGGCAGCTGGGAGAGCAGGAGATGGCTCGACGCGCGGGCGTAGTGCCATTCTCTCTCTCAAGTGCGGCCATCGATCCCCCAACCACCAGAACACGCCGCGCCAGCACCTCACTATCCCGGCCGAGAAAGGGATCTTCCTCACGCGCAATCCCAGGTCATCTGCCAGGCCTTCCACCTCAACTTCCCTCCCTCGAAGAGCTCACTGCAGGCGTTCCTGCATACGCACCCGCTCCACCTCCCCCGAGAGAGTTCTATGGGATGGGACGACCGCCAGAGATGGGGATTCCCCCGCCAGGTCTCATGGGCCCTCACCCTGGTATGCCCCCTCGGACCATGCCTTAGGATGAGATGACGATGAAGATGACGCCTACACGTCTTTCCTTGAGTTTTCCCCTCTTGCTTTTTTTTTTTCCTTGTTTCTTTTGTGATTTTCTGTTACGAATTGCATAGCGCCGGTTGGAGGTATATCGTGATTTGTGGGGATAGTGAATCGTATAGATGATTTCTACCCCTCGGTGTTTGTTCTTTTCCTTTTCCAGAAATTCTGGCGGGGCCAGCAAGTGCGAATTGATGTGTTTTCCCCATGACTCCGAGG